CGCAAGAGGTGCGCAAGAGCGGCGCGAGAAGGGCGAGGAGTGGACGAGCGAATACGGCCGGGGTGTGTCGGCCGGGGAGCCTCCGGCGGGCCTGCGGCGCGGGGCGCTGCGCGCGGCAAGCTTGCCGGGATGTGCCCGCAGCAAGAAGCCTCCGGCGGGCCTCCGGCGGACGCCTCGCGGCGTGGCGAGCACGCCGGCACTCCCGCGCCCGCGGAAGCAGCCGGGGTGTGTCGGCCGGGGAGCCTCCGGCGGGCCTGCGGCGCGGGGCGCTGCGCGCGGCAAGCTTGCCGGGATGTGTCGGCCGGGGAGCCTCCGGCGGACGCCTGGCGGCGTGGCGCTGCGCGCCGGCGCAGCGCCATTCGAAAGGCTCGACTGCATCTTCGAGTGCATCTTCTGCGCAGATTTTGTGCCCTTTAGCAGCTCGCGGAGGAGCAAAGGACGCCCGATTAGCGCTGCGCGCGGCCGGGCAAAAATTTGCGCTTTCGTGAAGAATATAAAGGCCAACGATGCGCTCCCCGCTCCCGTTCCCCTTTGTCCCTGATCGTCCTTACAAGATCCTGCTCGTGCAGGTGGGGACCCTGTCCTTCTCCCACCCCTCGTTTGGCGTGCCCGTTTTATTTATTTATTTATTAAGGCCAACGAGAGAGGGGGGCTGAGCTGTCGCCCCCACCAGAGGAGCAGTCACACGACTCCCACTCCGGCGCCCGCCCTACCCCACCCCAACTTCCAGCTGGATTCGAGCTGTCCGGGGGAAGGGTAGGGTTCCAATGCCGGGTTTGGGGTAGGGGGGTAGGGGGTAAGGGGTCAGCGGCGAGGCCCGACGGAGGGTAGGGGGGTAGGGGGTGCCGGTGTGAGGTGCTTGTGGGCCGAACTGTGAATTACGTTACTGTGAAGTCCGTCGCGCCGCCGAGCCCAACCGAGCACATCGCGGACCTGTCCGCTGCGTGAGACGCGGGCGGCGGGCGCGCGGAGGGGCAGCGTGAGGTTTACGGCTTCTGGAGGCACCTGGGGGTAGGGGGTGCGCGGGCGCGCGGAGGGGCGGCAGGGCGTGAGGTGACGGCGTGACGCTGTCCCAAAACTACCGTTACAGCAATCTCGCATATATGCTACCTGCATGTGAGCATTCATGTGTGAATAATTTAGGGGACAAAAGGTGGGAAGGGAGGGGGGGGGTATTGGAGATTTGAAACTTCCTAGATGTTCGTTTCAGTGGGGAGCTGGGCTAGGAGCTGGGGAGCTGCAGCTGGTGCCAGACCGTGCAGAGAGACCGCGGAAAGCACCAAAACGAGAGAGACGACCTGACCACTTACCAAAAGAATCTTAGACTCTCGCCGAACGAATTGCTCTTCCGGCGCGCGCTCTAACTGCGGCGTCACATGCTCATAACGGAAGTTTGTATTCGATAGCGGTCCCGCCATAGCTCCCGCATAGAAGCAGGAGGCTAGGCAGAGGCCGCATCGCGTCAGAGAGTGCTGTATACGTTTTACCCAAAACAGAAACGGAAACACGAATCTCCAATCCAAAGGGATGAAATCCCTTATGGATATAATCGCCCAATCAATTATCTCAGGAATATAGTGTGAATGCCCGGGAATAGAGCTGTTTAACGTTGGGAGCTGAACAGTGTTGCTAGTGTTAACAGTAACAACAGAACAACAGTGGGGCTCCCCAACAACAGTAGCTAACGTTAGGCGACCTGAACAACAATAAGGAAGGCCTATCAGTGACCCACGACGATCTCCAGCGTCCAGTGCGGGTAATACCCGAAAATACCCGGAAATACCCAGGTATTTTCGGGTTTTTACCCGTTTGGGGGGGGATTTTCTGCTTGCTGACCGCTGAACAACAATAACAACAGTAGCAACAGTAACTAACAGTAACAGCATGGGCTGGGGTGAACACTTGAACAACGTTAAGGATTTCAGCCAACAATAGCGCAACTGTTAGGCCCAAAGTTAATGTTAAACAGCTCTACGCCGGGAACAGCCCCTCCTGGCCCCGAGTGCGGGGCGCGAGGGACAAACAAATTCAGAGTGCATGAAAGTCGTCAAGCTGCTTGATCAGGCCAGTGAAGATGGCCCGCGAGGCAGCCTTCGTGAGCAGGTCGGCGAGCATCACGACGCCGGGGAGGTGTTCGACAGAGATAACGCCACGGTTGACGAGATCGCGAAGGAACTCGGCGGCGCGCAAGATGTGCTTGGTCGTGAGTGCGGGCCAGGAGGCCCTAAAACGGCGGGAGGGGTAGGGGTGCCGCTGTAGGGGTGTGGAGGGGTCGGGAGGGCGGGAGTGTGGACCGTGACCTAAAGCCCTCCACCGATAGAGGTGTCAGGCGGCAGGGCCCAGGAGGGCACTCGGAGGGGTGAGGGCTTGGAGGGCTGGCCAAAAGCGAGGCGTGGGAGGGGTCCAGTGGGCTAGAGAGGGCTGGAGGGGTCGGAGGGGGCTCGAGGGGCCGGAGGGGCTGTGCGGATGGAGGACTGTCGGAGGGGTCTGGAGGGCTCGGGGGGGCTTGGAGGGCTCGCGGGAGGGTGTTCCGGCAGCCTCCGCGCGTCCGCGGGGGGGCTGCTCTACCTCTAGAGCAGCCTCGGGAGGGTCAAAAATCGAAGCCGAAGCGGCGGCGGACCACGGAAGCTCCACGGACGGTGAGGCGGGCTGTGGTTGGCCGACATGGGCTCGAATGGACTCTGTCCGTCTCTCCGAGATGGAGATGCCATCATGGCATGTCCAGATGCATCTCAGAACCCATCTCTCGGCCCGAGATCGCGCCTCTTTCGGTAAATTCGCTTTTTGGAATACGACACCCCATTGGTGTGCAGGTGTGCATACAGAGAGAATGTTCGCCCCAGAGAGAACGACAGTTTCAGCGGGGTGCGGTTTCTCTCAAACACACCCGGTGTCGAGAGAGTCAGCCCATAAAAGCCCATGCGAACAGTACTCTCGCGCGTCTCGTCAGACTGAGGCTGTGGTGGCGATCGGAGTGTTGGCTTTGCACCAGGCGGCCTAATCCTGTCCCCAATGAATGCACCTCACCACCCACCCAAAGTGGTCGCGTTCCTTCTCCGTGCGTTGCGCTCCATCAAGCTGCGAGGTCTTGAAGAGCCGTTCACGCTCCTGCTGCTTTGCGCGCAGCTTAGCCCGGCCCTCGGCGGTCTTGACATACTGGGTGTAGTCCGACTCGACATAGTTGAGCAGGCGCAGATAGTGAATCGCCCCAAACTTCTCGCCGGTGAACTCCGCGTACGCAGCATCGATCTCTGCCGCAGCGGCCTCCGGAACGCTGAACAAGACTTCCAGCGCGTCGCCCCGCATCGGGTCGCCGAGTGCCACCTGCACATCGTGGCCTGGTGGGCGCGAGATTGTGGCGCCGCGTGACTCTGCAGCGTGGATCTTCTCGCCCGCCCACTCGCCGACCGGCTCGACGGAGGTGAGCCATGCTTGAAGGGCCGATCGGTCGTGCTCCTGCGGCCGTGGGCCGATGCGGAAGGGCGTCTGCGGCAGCAGGCAGCGCGTGACCAATGCGTCGGTCAGAGAGCGCAGCCGCATTATGGCTTGGAGGATCTGCAGCACGTCTGCATCGCTCAGCCACCGGCCCTGGCCGAAGCGACGGTGCGCTCTGGTGTCGGCGCCACCGCACGGCCGCGTGGCGGTCACCCACTCGAGCGCTGTGTAGCCTATCTCGCCGTACCTCGGGCCCGCTCGCTCCGGACGGAGGTACGACTGGAGCAGCCGCCAGCCGCGGCCCACACGCCATTCAATCACCAGGTGGTGCGCCACCGCGTCGAGGGCAAAGCACACGACGCGGCTCTGCGCCGGTGGCTGGCCGGGCGGCACGCCCCACGCAAGCTGCGGATGCGTGACGAGGCCCGCGATCGTCGGCGAGCCACAGCGCTGCGCGCAGACGCCGAACGAGTCCCATGGCCGCATCATCAGCTGCGGCGGCGCGGCGCGCTCGGCGACGATCTCCGCGAGGGCGTCGCACTGATCGATACGTCCGACGCTCGGCGACTGCGTGATCAGCTCGAAGCCGGTCGGGCACGTGTTGCGCGCCGTGTCGATGAGCACGAGCTCCTCCTGCCTCATCTCGGCCCGCTGGCGGCCCGTCGTGATCACGCTCACCAGCCCATCCTTCCGGCTCTTGACCACTTTGAACTTGCGCCCGTCGCGGTCCGTGACGACGGAGCCGGCCTCGAACGGCACGCACGCTGCGGCGGCGGTTGGCGGCTCTGCACGCGTCAAGCTCGCAGAAGCTGTCGGCGGATCCGCTTCCCGCGGCGCTCGCTTCGCCGCCTTGGAGGCTGCCTTCTTCAACTCGCCGAGCGTCAGGCTCGGCCACTCTTGCGCAGAGAGCGCTGCGTGCAGCTCCTTGGTCGTTGCCTGCGGCCGCGCGAACCGCAGCCGCTGCACCGCTGCAATGAGCCCCTCCTCGCCCGACGGCGGCAGATCGGTTGCCTGGCCAGCCGGCGCGGGCGGCACTGCGTCGTCGGGCTGCGTTGCTGTAAGATTGGTGGGCTTCAACGCCAGCGGCTCGCTCTCACCCTCCACTCGCACGCCCTGGCGACCCTTGGTTGTGTCAAGTGCGCTGATGACAATACCGCTGCACCCGTTGAGATCGGGCCGCGCCACAAGCGAGTGGAGCACCACGGGCGTGCCCACCGCCAGCCCGTCGGAAGCGCCACCCAAGAGCCTAGGTAGGTGCGGATCGGCAAGAGCGCAATCGATCTTTTTGCCCTCTATCACCTTGGGTTGTAAGAACTTGAAACACACCACGCAGGGGCACAGCAAGCACGGATAGCCGTTGAGGAGAAAGGGCGTAAGGTGCGTATGCGCAGCCACGCGCCGTGCCGCGGTGGGCGCGCCAACTCCCGCGAGCGCGGCGGGATCGGAATTGCGGCCGGAGGGAAGGGCGAGCCGCCGCCGCCGCCGCCATATACCATCAGCGACGACGACCGCGGCTCGCCCCAAACGCCAGGCGCTGGATCGGCAGTAGGGCTTGGGCGGCGCAGCGTAGGCCTCGAGCCACACGAGTCGCCGACAACCCCCCCTCATCGACGTGATGGCCGCACCCGCTGCCGGCCGATGCAAGCTGCCGCCTCCACCGCACCAGCGATACTGGCCGCGGCTCGCCGCCACGCGCCGGCTCGGAAGAGGGGCTATCGGCGGCGCAGCAGAGCGGCATGCGTCGTCATTCGAGCAGCACCAGGTCCCCTCTTCGACGTGACGGCCGCTCCCGGAGCCGGCCGGTGCGCGCCCGACCCACGCCCCCTCTCGCACCCCCCCGATCCCCCTGCGCGGCGCCCCCTCCACTGCGCGCCGGCTCGAGCGCCTATCGCCAAATCGCGACTTTCGAGCGCAGTGCGTGCGCCCCACACGTCACGCGAGCGCAGGAGAGTTTGCGGCAGAGCAGTACCGTGTACTAGCCGGAGGCATCGCGCCGAAAACCCCGCGCATTCCGCCCCAACAGAGGCTGCAGGAGGCAGGTGGCCAATAGCGACTATCGTTACGAAATGTAGCCTTTCCGGGAGCTCTCCAAGCTGTCTTGGGTGGTAAACCCTCCCATCGGCACCAAGGCGTTGGCAACCATCGCCAGGTAGAGCACCACCAGCTTCGCCGGGATGGCAATCGGCTTCCCTCCGCTCCCATCCAACGGCAAATTGTGCCGCCAGCCGCACGACGGATAGAAGCACTGCACAAACGTGGCAAATGTGGCCAGCCACGACACGAACTGCCCCCCCCCCAGTGCGGGTAGTTCGACACAGCCTTTGCCGATGGCCATCATGCCCTGCTTCAGCACCACGTCATTCACCAGCACCGCGTGCGCGTCCGTCACCGTGAGTGCGTCGGCGCCGCCCTTCTTGTACATCGCGATTGCCGACGCCGCCACCTTCTCCTGGCCATCCACAACCTGCGCGCCAGTGCCCGCGCCGGTCTGAGTCTTCCGCTGCTCGCGCCGCTGCACCATCTGCCGATCTTTGCCATCGCGTCGAGAAGAGAAGATGCTCGCGACCATGGATGAGGTGCCCTTCACCGGCGCTCCCGCGACCTCGTTCGCCCTGAGAGCCGCCTCGTCGAAGGCTCCTCGCTCCTTCGCGGCCTGCTGCGCCCGCACCACCTCCATCGCGTTCGCCGTCTGCGAGTTGAGCTTCGTCACCTTCGCCTTCTTCTCCCGCGCCGCCGCCGCCTCCCGGTCCTCGCGGCGGTCCGCCAGCGGGTTGTCGCCGGCGTCGGCAGCCACGATCATGGCCGTGACGGCCTCGCCTGCCATCTTCGATTCTCGGTCGATCGCGCGTCCCAAAAGTCGCCAAAAGTCGCCAATTGCGGCGAGTCGCAATCACCCGCCCGCCGTCCCGGCGGTCCCGCAGCTCGCGCGAATCTCCCTCTTAACCCACCTCTAACGGCGAAAATCTAAGACCACAATAGGGGAGCCCTATGCATTTCAAGAAGCGCGCATACAAGAAATCGCGCGCGACAGCCAAACGCAAGCAGATCGCGGTATACACACGGACACCAGGGCCGGTTACTTTCTCTCTCTAGGGCGGGTGCAGGCAGGGGGGACGGCGGCCGCCGTATTTGTAACGCTCCTCCTCCGTTTGCCAACACCTCCGTCGGCCAACACCTTCCGGTCTGGCCAAACACTTCCATGATTCTCTGTGTGTTCTCCACCTTCCTCGCCCTGGGCTTGGCGCTGACGACGCAGCTGGACACGCAGCAGCAGCAGAAGAGCGAGCTGCACACGACGAGGACAGGGGGCGTAATCTTCAGCGGCAAAATCACGACCGTCTTCAGCGCAGATCTTCGCCTGACCGAGAGGCTCACCGCGGCCGTGCTGGTGGAGCAGGTGGAGCGTACGGCGCTGATTTTGAGTCCACCCGCTGTTGGCAGCGTGGCCGAGGTCGTCTTTGGACGGCGCGTCGTCCCTCTGAGGCTGCGCGACAAGCTGCTCCACAGTCGCGTGCGGCTGCAGGCTGCTGCGTCAAACTCGACATCGCATCGCTGCACGAGGATAGAGCTCCTGGGCCAGGCAGCCGCAGGGGATGCAGCAGACATCGAGCCTTCAGAACCCCTTGTGCTCGTCGAGCTCATCAGAAACGTCTCCTCCTCCAAGCACCCTTGGCTCGAGCGAGACTACCCGGCCGGCACCCGCTTCCGACCCTTCACCGGGCCGACATACGGCGTGATCAGCGAGAGCGGCATCGCGGTCCAAGACCTGCTCGACTGCGAGGCGCCCTTCTACGAGATGCCCGCGAGCGCGACTCGCGTCGTGTGGTCGGCTGCCTCGGAACAGCTGGTTCGACGGTGCGCCGTGCCCGAGCTGCTCGACCCAGTCGAAGTCGTTATTGTCCCTCACCCTCGCCCTCCGCCCTCGCCCTCGCCCTCGCCACCAACCGGCGTCCCCATCATGTTTCTCATCCTTTTCTTCCTTTTCGTCCTCATCATCGCGAGTCACGACGGCATCTTCAACTGCATCGCGCTCTGCCCCATCGCCTAGCGGCGCTCACCCAGAGATCTTCCCCATCGCTCCCTAGCGGCGCTGCCCCGAGAGAGCTTCGTTGTGCATGCTTCGCGCCTGGCGTGGGTGCATGCGAGTGTTCGCATTAGGTAGGCACGTTGGAATGCGGAGATAGTTACTGCTCTTTGTAGACTTTGTAGTGTTCTCCTGTCCGGCGTGACTCTCTGTCTCACATGAGTTTCTTCCCTCGATTGTGTCACGCCTCTCCTCCTTGTTCGGCGTTGCCGAACTGCGACCGAAGCTCGCTTTGTAGCAGCGTCTCATTGAACCTTACTTACCGTCCAATCGAGCCGTCCCCTAAAATACATATCTTTTTACGACCCTAGACGCGAGACCCCGGCTGCCCCTTCGAGGCTACACGCCGGTGCTACTCTCGCGTTCCAAACGGGGTAGGAGAAGAGAGGGTAACAGGCAGAAGGATTAGAAGAAACGCTGCGTTTTTTTTCACTTTCGAGGCGCACGCTAAGGCGGGCTCCCACCCAAGTCCAGTTTTTTGGGAATATGCGCCTCGCAGCAGCGCTGTCGCTCTCATTGCTCGCCGGCGCGAGCGGGCGGAAGAAGTGGTGGGAGAACGCGGAGCCGGACGACACCTTGGGCTGCGGAAAATGCAAGGTCGCCGTCATGCGGCTGCTCGTGCCGTTCCCAAAGGTAGCTCCCGCCCTGCGCGATCACCTCTCGCGCCTGTCGCTGGCGCAGCCAGCCTTGCGTGACGCGCCCCGGACCTTCGCCGGGGGCACAGCCTCCGCTGCCAACCGTCTCGCGTGTCTCTCACGCCCAGCCCCGGCCGCCGGCGTCAGGGCTGCGCTGGCTCTAATGGTACGGTCATCAAGAGCACGGCGGCGGATCGGGCAGCGTCGGCGTACTGCGAGAGCCTCTTCCCACCAAAGATGAAGCGGCAGTGCGTCGTCTACTCCTTTGGCGTAGACAACAACCTCGACTTTGACAAGGCGATGCTCGCGCGCAAAGACCCGGCCGGCGTCCCGATCGGCTGCCGCGTGATGTCCTTCGACCCGTTCTGCTGCGGCGCGGCGCACGTGCTGGCAACCAACCACCAGTTCGCACCCGTCGGCCTCGCCACGTACGACGGGCTGATGGAGGCGGGGACGGAGCAGGGGAACGTGAGCTTTCCGGTTGCGCCCGCCAGAGACGGCACGCCCGGCCCGCCGCATCTCGGCTGCACCTGGGCGGGTGGGCGTGCCCGTAGGTGTTTACGCTGCGCACGCTCATGTCGTCCAACGAGGACCCGAAGCTGGACGCGCTGCGGCTCAAGGTGAGCAGCGCGCTGGAGTGGAAGGGGCTGAAGAACCTGATCAACCTCGGCACCATCCAAGAGATCCGGCAGCTCTCGCTCAACCTCCAGTTCAAGGCGACCGCGGCGGGGGAGGGGAGAGGAGCACACCGCGCCTCCGACCCGCCTCTCACACACGCCCGCCCGTGAACAGGACGAGGACATGTGGGAGGAGTACCGACTGATCCTCACGTCGCTGCGCGCCGCCGGCTTTGTTCCCTTTTACGTCGCCAAGCAGCCGCAGGCGACGCCTCCGCCTGCGGCGGCGGTGGGGGCTGCCCACTTGTGCCACGGCGCCTCTTCACGCCTCGCCCTGTGTGTGCCCAGGCGAGCTACCTGCAGGTGCAGGAGGGCTCGTTCCAGCTGTACTCGAGCTACGAGGTGGCTTACGGTAACGTCAACGTGAGGTGAGGCAGGGGAGGGGTTGAGGAGGGGAGGGGGCGAGGAGGGCGAGGAGGGCAGATGCGGGGAGGGGACGGCGCCGACGGGAAGGCTTCGAGCTGGCGAGAGGCGGCTGACCACAGGCCGAGGTCCCGACCGCACCGCTGACTGCGCCGCCTCCGGCCGAGGCGGCCTCGACGGCGGCGCTGCGGTGGTCGGGCTGGGCCGGGGCCCGCTTCTCGCGCGCGCGGGGCGGAGCGGAGGCGGGGAATGCGGCCTCCGGTGGAACGGCTGTCACCGCCGGATCCCTCGGCTCCTGGTAGAGAGTCGCGAGAAGCCATATGGAGACGCGTCTCTCTCTTGTGGGACGCCGTGTGCACCGCGGCCACCGCACGCGCACCCGGTTGGCACGATGCGCACGCTGGGTCTCTATACATGTGTGGTGCTTGTGACGCAAGGTAAACTTCTCCACAGACCACACTACACACAGGGTGCGGGGGTTCACACACAAGATAATAGCGAGACTCGGGGGGAGGGGTGCGAGAGTCGTGTGCGCGATGTGCGCACGTGTGTGTGTTTATTGCGCGAGCGAGTTCTCTCACTCAACCCGCTAATCTACAGCAAGGCAACACAGGGAGACTCGTGCCGTTGCCATTGGCGCCAGCCCTTCCCAGGCGTTCGTAGCCGGGTTGTATTGCTCCACTGTGTTGAGTAACTCGAGCTCGTCGAACTCGTCGTCCTCGTCATTCTTCGTCTCGCCGCCAACAACATACAGTGTGCCGTCAAGCACCACCACTCCATGGTCACTCCTCGCCGTCCCCATCGGTGCCACCGCATCCCACGCATTCAGCGCGGGGTCGTACCTCTCGACAGAGGAGAGGTAGTTGTCGTTGCTCTCTCCGCCCACAGCGTACAGCTTGCCGTCGAGCACCGCCACGGCGAGAACTACCCGCGCCGTCCCCATCGGCGCCACCGCCTCCCACGCATTCGTCGCCGGGTCGTACCGATCGACCGAGCTGAGGGCGCCGTCGTCGTCGTTGTAGCCTCCCACGGCGTACAGCTTGCCGTCGAGAACTGCCACACCGAGACTCATCCGCGCCGTCGGCATCGGTGCCACCGCCTCCCACGCATCCAGCGCCGGATCGTACCGCTCGACCGAGCTGAGGAGGTGGTGATAGCGGCAGCCACCCACAGCGTACAGCTTACCGTCGAGCACCGCCATGCGATGATACAACCGCGCCGTCGCCAATGGCGTCACCCTCTCCCACGATTTCGTCGCCAAATCGTACAGCTCCACCCTGTTGCAAGTTGCGCCATCCTCATCCTTGCCGCCCGCTGCGTAGGGCTTGCCGCCGAACACCGTCATGCCGACTTCCGTGCGTGGCATCGGTGCCACAGCTTCTTCCTCCCACTCATCTGTTGCCGCGTCGTACCGCTCCAGCGAGTTGAGGAACTCGCCCTCGCTGTCGTTGCCGCCGATCACGACCAGGCGCGGCCTCAGGCGCGTCTTCAGGGTCTCCTTCCAGCCGCGGCGCCACGCGCGGCACGTCCCCTTGACGGCGTGCTCCTTGGTCGGCAGCTGGGCGAGGATGTGCGGGGCGAGGTCCGGCGAGAGGAGGACCTCGGAGAGCACCCACTCGGGCTGCTCCACGAGCCGAGCGGCGTGCTCCTCCGCCACGCGCAGCGCGGCGGCGCTCGCGCCCGCCTGCGCCTCGATGATGGCGCACAGCTGCTCTGGCGAGAGGCCCGCGACGCGCGCGCCGATGCGGTGGGAGGCCATATACACGCAGACAATGCGAGGTAGTGAGGCCAAAAAGAAAGAAAGAAAAAGACGACCCAAGGGAGGGACGGGAGTCGAGGAGCGAGCGCGGAAGTGTAATTCTTTTCTTGATAGTATGAGCGGGGAGAAAGAGAAAAACGTGGGCACAGCAACCACAGGCAACGATTTTTTGTAAACTGGATTGATTGATCACGATAATTGATAAAAAATGGATAAAACAAGCACGTGCAGGTAGAGGGTTCGGTCACAGCCGGACAGCGGATGACACCATGAAGTACAGCGATCGCCATCTCGCTGGCCTGTCCGCAGGTCCCCCCGACCGCGTCGAACTCATCGGCGCGGGCTCTCTCGGCTACGGGACCGGCCCCAGCTTCGGCTGAGGGCTGACAAGCTGCCGAGCCCAAATCACTGTGAGAGTCGTGATTTCTTGTTGGTTTTCTAAAATCTCTCAGCGGAATGAGGATTGAATGACAGCGGGAGGAATGGTCTAGCGCTCAGGGGATGGTACTTTTCGCGTATTCCTATAGCCGGCGAATAATATAAAGGTGCAACAAGGTGTCCGTAGAGAGAGGCACGGGACTGGGGCGCACTGGATGAAAAAGAATCTTTCGGTTCGAACGTCTCCAGGTCCAGGGCCTCCAGCCAGCAGCCTCCAGCGTCCCGGGTGCGCACAAGAGCGCGGCCGGCTGGGTGCGGTGTCATCGCGGGTCGTTACGAACTCCGCCTCGCTCCCAGTCCTTCCTCTCCCTCCCGCGCGCTTTTGTGTCATCCGCGAGACGGCAGGCGCTACACATGGGCGTGGAGCAATCCTGGAAGTTGCACCACTCACTACATGGGCGTGGGTTGCCGCGCCGGCCTCGCCGGGGAAGCCATGGGGGAGGGTGATGGCGTGGCGACGGGCGAGATCGCGGCGAAGACTTGCGCGTCGAAGCGGTCGATGGCGTCTCGCAGGTCTGGCTGGTGCCTGTTCACAAGCCGGTGCCTGTTCACAGCTGAGCGGACGCTTCTCACAGCTGCAGAGCGCCCTGGAGAGATGGACCCGCGCCACCCCTCGCGCAGATGTGTCTCGTGTGCCTTGCGCGCTGCTCTCTTGCTAGCTCGCTCTCGCGCGCCCGAAGCGCGTCGCGACCTCTGTGCGCAGCGTCTCCGCCACATCGAGCAGCTGCTGCAGCGCCTCCTCGGACGCCATGCTGCTCCGGCGCGGCGCCTCGGCCTCCTCCGCCGCGAGACGGGCGCTCGGCACCAGATCACCCATCATAAGGCCCATAGAGGGCGGTAGAGCCACGGGCGCCAGACGGCCACCTCCGGACGTAGAGCTGCAGGCGTCGGTGGTGCCGGCGGCAGCGGCGAGCGCCCCGGAGAGAGAGCGGCGCTGTGCAGCGGAGGGGCGGGTCGGGTGGCTCTCAAAGTGCCACAGAGCGGACGTGCGCAGACTGCGCAGAGGGGTGAGAGGAGGGGTCGGGTCGGGCCGTGCGCACACCGAGTGAGGCGTGGGCGCCGGTCCACTTGCTGGCCTCGAGGCTGCCTACGTGAGACAAGGTTCCGAGAAGGTGAGGGTCACGGTCGGTAGACCAGTTGCTGCTGGCCTCTCGAGGCTGGCAAGCTGCGGTCTCCTGCGACCGCACCTCCGCCTCGGCGGCGTCCTATGGTTGGGGGTTTAAGGGGGTTGGGTGGGCTGACAGAGGAGCGAGAGCGAGAGGAGGAGGAGGCCGCTAGCCAAGAGGAGGGAGGGG